AGGTCAATGACAGGTGACTTACCTCCAGCACAAGACTGAACATATTTGTGTCAATGACAGGTGACCTACCTCCAGCACAAGACTGAACATTGTGTCAATGACAGGTGACGTACCTCCCGTACTAGACTGAACATTGTGTCAATGACAGGTGACCTACCTCTAGCACAAGACTGAACATTAGGTCAATGACAGGTGACTTACCTCCAGCACAAGACTGAACATATTTGTGTCAATGACAGGTGACCTACCTCCAGCACAAGACTGAACATATTTGTGTCAATGATAGGTGACCTACCTCTAGCACAAGACTGAACATTGTATGCAAATGACAGGTAACCTACCTCCAGCACAAGACTGTGAACATTGTGTCATTCCATTTTCTCTCCACATGTATTTAACTTGTGATGGCCTAGATTCATCCACAGATACACCAGAGGTGCCAGATTGATAAGGATTGTGTGAGCCACCAGAAACCACATCACCATCTGGTGGAGTGTTAACACCAGGGTAAACACCAGGAATTCTGGGTCGATAGCCAGACTGGACTCCTGGATTAGCACCAGTCTGGATTCCTGGATTGACAGATGGTGGGTTAACTGCTCCTTGATATCTTGGTAACACAGCTCCACTGCCAACTCCATACGGTGGTTGCAATCCAACAGTTCTACTGTTGGAAGCAGATGGAATATCAGGCTGGATACCAGAATTATATCTGGTACCATATGGTGGCTGTAACTGGATTCCAGGGTTTGTTCCTAGTCCGTAATTAGGATAAGATGGACCTGTGAAGACTCCTCTTCCAGGATTTCCAGTGCGTCCTCCACCTGAATTTCCAGTGCGTCTCCCTCCTGAACTTCCAGTTTGACGCCCTCCTGAATTTCCAGATTGTCGGCCTCCTGAGTTCACTGGATACCTTCCACCTGTGTTATAATTTGTTCCAAAGTTTCCTCCTGTATTCTCAACACCATGTCCAGTTTGACGGTAAGGTCCAGGTATACTTGATCCTCTTTGACCATTTCCTCCAGTGACTCCTGGGGCAGGTCTTATTAGTTGTCTTGGGTTGGTCTGGAGGTAATAGCCTCCAGCAGGAAAGCCTGGCTATAGACATAAAAATCATAAAACCAGTCAATCAGTCTGCGTTTTTTCTCTGTGTACACTTTAAAAACTTGTAAATCATCAGATTTACCAGGAAACATCGTCAGTCATGATAATTCACACTCAATGTCACAACTGTGAAAGGTGAACACCAAGGTCATGCAATAAATATGCAAGAATTTATTCATGAGTCTAGTACCTGTGGTTGGTCAGAGCCAGTTCCTTCCACTGTGTCACCAAGTTCGGATTCAGTGTCTTCTCTTCCAGATGGCATTATGAATTCATAATAAACACCTGAATTCTCAGTTTGGTATATCAACTAAACAAAACAGAAGAGAAGCTACTATAACCTTATGCTGCAATGTGTACAAATCATGTTAAAGAGTGCCCTCACAGTCATTGTAATGCATTCCACATAATATCCACCACTAGAGGGTAGTCAACAGAATTGGAGAAAAAAATTAAATTCAAATGAAGTCTGCACAATTTTCTGGTAATATTTTTATCAAAAATACTTGATCACGACCTGTAGCCACTGGAAAAAATATTTACGTAAGCTACAAAATTGTTAAATGTTGCACCAACATTTGGCCAATGAGAGTCAAGATTACTTGTACAATTGCTGTCTGGAATTGGCCAATGAAGGTCAAGAACTTGTACCATAGCTGCGTGAAATTAGCCAATGAGGGACAGGACTACTTGTACTATGGCTGTCTGAAATTAGCCAATGAAGGTCAAGGACTTGTACCATGGCTGTCTGAAATTAGCCAATGAAGGTCAAGAACTTGTACCATGGCTGTCTGAAAATAGCCAATGAAGGTCAAGAACTAGTACCATGGCTGTCTGAAATTAACCAATGAGGGTCAAGAACTTGTACCATGGCTGTCTGAAATTAGCCAATGAAGGTCAAGAACTTGTACCATTGCTGTCTGAAATTAGCCAATGAAGGTCAAGAACTTGTACCATGGCTGTCTGAAATTAGCCAAT